GCTTAAGCAGAATTCAACATTTAAACGTGAAATAGTAAAATTTTGAATTTAGAAACATCCGCAGATGTGTTCATACGGCGGTTAACATGGAACCTTCAATGTGACACGTCCGTGCCATTCCATGAAAAGCGGCGTATGGTCCCCAAGTAATAAAAAGCGTGTGCCCTAAACGAGAAAACAATGGGCGGAAACCTCGTAAAAGAAACCTCGTAAATTACCGAAAATGTGTCAAACTATGCATAAATAGCCTTTACTGCGTTAGTAACGCAGTAGAAATATAGTTCACAGTATATAAACGATTTGAACGTGAGAAGATGTCAGTGTCAGCCATTTTCTGACGCTTAACTTGTTTAATATATTGGTATTTATATTGATACTTATGGACGTTAGGTTATTAAATCTTTATTTATATCGTAGAAGAGAAACTTTATTAAGCGTTTAAGGTATGCAAAATATAAATGTTAGTATTAAAGCTATAAAATAATCGAAACTCACGAACTGCTTTCAGGTGATCAACACTGAACACTAGCAAAAATCCGTCTTATTTCAAGGTTTATTTAGTTAAACATTGAATTGTGATATCGAACTACTAAAATAATTTATAACAAATGATAATTTAGTCATCTGCAAAAAATATTGCTGTATTTTGAACATTAAATTAAGAGTTTAACCAAGGAGGTCAATTCCGTAAACTGAACGTTACTTGCTGGTGATTGTGAACCCTACTGGAAGAATTCAGTTGTCTTCATTGCCCCCTTTCTCTTCCAAAAAAATTAGGAAATATTATTGTTCATAATTTGGACATCAGAACGAAAGCTTACTTGGGGACCATACGCCGCTTTTCATGGAATGGCACTGAAGTGTCACATTGAAGGTTCCATGATAACCGCCGTATGAACACATCTGCGGATGTTTCTAAATTCAAAATTTTACTATTTCATGTTTAAATGTTGAATTCTGCTTAAGCCGGTGCTAGGGGGCGTGGACGGTAACTTGCACATTCCAGTACTGTCCATGAACATGCTCAATCAAACCGAGCCTGCAACATTTTCAATTTTGTCGTGTTGGGTTTTCTTTAGGGATTCTGTATTTATCTATTTTAGAGCTTTGATCTCTACCAAATTTGTTCAAATTTTGCATCTAGTGTCAAAATTAGCCCCTCCCTGTGGGTCATAGGTTTTCCTTATATGAATATAGTAAGAACTTAAATAATCAACATCTCTAAATTGACAAAGGCTAAAGTTAGATATTTTGCATGCAACATTGTGTAGTAAATCTCTACCAAGGTTGTTCAAATTTTGCCTCTAGTGTCAAATTAGCCCTGCCCGGGGGGCATTGACTTTCATTATGTACACACAGTAAAAACAGAAACTAAAAAAATGTTTTCTGAATAAGAGAAAGCTACAGCTTAGATATTTGATATGAAATGTTGTTTAGTGGACCTGTATCAAGATTGTTTGAATTAAACACTTGGGTCACAATTTTGCCTTGCCTAATGGGACAGTGACCTACCTTCTTGTACAGCCATGGAATTTGGACCTTGTGCACAGTTTTAGTCGTCGTAAAATTGAACTTTGATATCAGATGACCTCGATTTTGATTATGACTTTCTCGTCCTTTGATGTACAGCTATGAAATTTTGACCCATGTGTACAGATTAAGATGTTAAGTAAACTTTTTTATCAGCTGACCTAGATTTTGACAAAGTGTTTTACTGCGTTGTCCTTTGATGTACAGTCATGAAATTTAAGCCATGTGAAAAATGACCTTAATATCATGGGTCATAGTAATTTTTCTGCCGTCTTCACTAAAATTATCAAACGGTTAATTAAAAGAGGTTATGACCCAATTATTTAAAGGCATACCGCATGCTTGGTGTTCAACCCATTTACAGTTGGACGCTACGCTTTCCTCTTTTGAATACATCTAACGGACCAAGTGGGAGACTCTATGATGGACAGTTCTTAAAGCCCTTTGGGGACTGAATTGTCTTAATGTTCGTCTTCTGCCTTGCTTCGTCGGGCCCTTGTAGGTGATTTTCTTGTTGCTCTGCCTGCCTTTAAGGCATCGAGAACTTTGGTAATGGTCATTAGGCAGTAACTTTTTCTACATATTTACATAATTTTGTATGTGTTTTATTTATTTCGTCTAATGTAACCATGAACATTGTTAGAATTTCACTTGGCGGGGATTAATTTTATATACATTTTCGTGTCATTCAGGAACATATTGGGGCTAAGAGTGAGGTTTGGCGCGCCTAATCCGGTTTAAACTCCCCAGTGGCTTAACTACCACTGACCGTTGTTTTTGGATGTTGCGTTCATTGAACGCCGCCTTCCTTGTTGATCTTGTTTATCATATTTTACATGTTTTGTGATGTCTGTCTTGTTGGATTGTCGTTGACGGTAGGTATTCCCCCCCCCCTTCCATTTTTACCCCCCCCCCCACCTTTTCACCCGTAGAGCCCTTTCCCTTTAATTCCCTTAAGGGCCTTTTTTTGTTTATATTATTTCACATTACATGTCCCGCCCCTTTCGCCCTTGTGTACACTCCAGGTACTTGTTTGGTGCCTTCTGGGTGTCCTGCTTGGGTGTGTCCGGGGGCGGCGTCCTGTGAACGTTGCCTTTGCCTTGTTGATCTTTATTCTTGTAATTTTTAATAACCAAATTCTCTAGACTCAACCGATTGATAGATTCCTACTCTGATCTTTTTTTTGAATAACAATAGCTTTAACCACTAATCTGATAATTAGAATTAGATAGGTTAGGGACCTATGCATTATGGCAATCTTCAATTGTATAGAAACAAAAAAATCTGTTCCTACACTACTGTTTAGTTTTGAATTAATGCGGTGGCATAGCATTTTTCACAAGTGCAATCTCCTTTGTTATTGTTTCAATGAACTGCTTTTATCTTAAGGTAGACACCCCTAATGCACTATCTCCACATTAAAGAGAATTCAAATAGGCTAGAATCATTTTAAAGTGTATTGAAACTGAGGGGCGTGGGGCAACACGTTTTTCCTCTCTCTTTTTAGCTCACCTGTCACAAAATGACAGGGTGAGCTTTTGTGATCGCTTTTCGTCCGGCGTCCGTCCGTCCGTCCGTAAACTTTTACTTTAAATGACATCTCCTCATAAACCACTAAGCCAATTTCATCCAAACTTCACAGGAATGTTCCTTTGGTGGTCACCTTTAAAAATTGTTCAAAGAATTTAATTCCATGCAGAACTCTGGTTGCCATGGCAACCGAAAGAAAAAACTTTAAATATCTTCTCTTAAAAAACCCCAAGAGCTAGAGCTTAGATATTTGGCATGGAACATCTTCTAATGAGTGTCTACCAAGTTTGTTAAAAAAAAAGCACTGGGGTCAAAATTGGCCCCGCCCCAGGGGGTCTTTGATTTTCCCTATATGCATATAGTAAAAACTTAAAATATCTTCTTTTACAGAACCAAAAGAGCTTGAGCTAAGATATTTAGCACGAAACATCTTCTAGTGAGTGTCTACTAAGTTTGTTCAAATAAAAGCCCTGGGGTCAAAATTGGCCCCGCCCCAGGCATTGATTTTCCCTATATGCATATAGTAAAAACTTAAAAAATCTTCTTTGAAAAAAAACCAAAAAGCTAGAGTTTAGATATTAAGCATGAAACATCTTCTAGTGAGTGTCTACCGAGGTTGTTCAAATAAAAGCCCTTGGGTCAAAATTGGCCCCGCCCCAGGGGGTCTTTGATTTTCCCTATATGCATATAGTAAAAACTTAAAAAATCTTCTTTGAAAAAACCCAAATAGCTAGAGTTTAGATATTAAGCATGAAACATCTTCTAATGAGTGTCTACAAAGTTTGTTCAAATAAAAGCCCTGGGGCAAAATTGGCCCCGCCCCAGGGGGTCATTGATTTTCCCTATATGCATATAGTAAAAACTTAAAATATTTTCTTTTAAAGAACTAAAAGAGCTAGAGCTAAGATATTTAGCATGAAACATGTTCTAATTGGTGTCTACCAAGTTTGTTCAAATAAAAGCCCTGGAGTCAAAATTGGCCCCGCCCCGGGTGTTATTGATTTTCCTTATATTTGTATAGCAAAAACTTAAAAATCTTCTTTGAAAAAACCCAAATAGCTAGAGTTTATATATTAAGCATGAAACATCTTCTAGTAATTGCCTACAAAGTTTGTTCAAATAAAAGCCCTGGGGTCAAAATTGGCCCCACCCCAGGGGTGTCATTGGTTTTAACTATATGTGTATAGTAAAAACTTAAAAAATCTTCTTTTAAAAAACCCAATGAGCTAGAGCTTAGATGTTTAGCATGAAACATCTTCTTATGGGTGTCTACCAAGTTTGTTCAAATAAAAGCCCTTGGGTTAAAATTGGCCCTGCCAAGGTGTTTTTAATTATATGTGTGTAGTAAAAACTTAACGTCGTGAAACATCTTCTAATGGGTGTCTTCCAAGTTTGTTTAAATAAAAGCCCTGGGGTTTAAACCGGCTCCGCTCCGGGTGCCTTCATACAGGTGAGCGACCTCAGGGCCATCATGGCCCTCTTGTTCTTTTTAACATTTTTTTTAATCTCTCAGATCGCTAATGGAAGAAAAATGTCTTTAATTTTAATTATATAATTATTGTAGGTATTTATTTACTAAATAATGCCAAATTTAATAGCAAATATAATACCAAATAATTTTAAAGTTTAATAAAATAAAAACTACACGGAAGAAGTTTTTTACTTTTAAGGCATATAATTGTCCTATGTTGTCAATTTTACAGTTCCTAATAGTGCCCATTAGGGGTATTCTACCTTAAGTGGCAAATGTAATCACTTATAAGCGTGACAGCTAGCTTGTAACTATACAATGCCATTAAGTAAAAAATAAAGTTTTAAGGTATGATTACAAACATTTTATTCATTCATATTATATAGATTTATACATGTATAACATACAAAACAATTTTCATGAAGACATGAAAATACAAAATTTGAAGGCAAGATGAACAGTCTACCTACACATACTTGTACTTTTTAAAGAAATAAATTTATCAAACTTTGTCGACTGTCAGAACCGTTTCTGTTTGGTGGAATCTGACAGATATAATTGTCATTTACTTCATTTTCAAGACTTACATCTTGTTCTGCCAGTGGAACTCTCTTGTCCAAACAGAAATGATACAGCCTTGTACATGCTTCAGCAACTTTACATGCCTTTGTTGGTTTCAGCAAAAGGCAGCCTCCTGACTTGTGCAAATACCTTGAATGACAAAAAACATAGTTTATAGAAGGACCTTAATTAGTTTTCTAAGTTTGTCATTTAAGAAAAAGAACACTATTTTTGTTACAAAAATATAATTATCTCGCTGCCTTCTTATAGTGTATTTGAAGGGTCTGATTTTATGAAAAATAGTACATGTGTAGTCTAAAGAAATTATTTAAAGGGATACTCAGGCAAAATAATGGCAAAAATATAGAAATGATTTTCTGTACTCAAATCACCCTAAAATGACATTTTTTAAAGTCCCAGCATGAAATTCTGTATAAATTCTATATATTTTGAATTTGAAGTGTAAATTTATCTATATATATTCAACAAAATTAAGACGCTGACAGAATCACCGAGTAGATTTAAAACAAGAGTAGATTTAAAAAAGTCATGTTATTTGAACAAACCCTGGAATTTACAATAACAGATTTTGTTGATATTGTATGATTGAAACAAGTCTGAGTAATTGATTTGACATGTTTTTTAACGTTTCCAGAGTACAGAGTGACAACTATTGTGAAATTTTAGCGCTCTAACCTGACCCACGCGGGTCAAGTTAGGAAAACACCATTTAATTCTTTATATGGAGAAAAGTTTTGTTCCTTTGACTGTTTAGTGTATTCATTTTGAGGACATTTACAGAATAATGAATGAAAATTTCAAAACTAAGAAATGAAAATTTTGCCTGTGTCTCCCTTTACTTTTAACTTGAAATTTTACATTTTACATAATAAGTTGCCTTTACTGGAAATGCAATGCATCAGATCTGATAGCTCTGTAATAAACTCATTATTCTTAGTGTAAGAAGGATAAGATGACCTTTCATGTAGAGAAAAAAAACACTCAACTACTTTCAAAGCTTTATATTGGATAAAGAAATTGTTAACAAAGAGGAAGATTCTAGAAATACCCAATAACTTAAGATTCCTTTGACTAACAGTATTCATATTTGGCATGGAGGTTGGTCATGACCATTAGATGACCTCTAATGATTCTGAAGCAGCTGGGTCAAAGTCAAAGGTGACCCCTATTGCTTTTGAGGTCACGAGATCAGAGTTAAAGGTCACTTTGATCTTTGCCACTTAAAGCATGTAGAATACATAACTTAGCAATGCATTGGCTTACTTCCTTCAGATTTTGTAGAGAAATTGTCTTTAAGCTCTAAAAGACCACTGTTGATTCTGACAAAGTGGTACATGCAAAATAGTAGTTAATTCAGAAAAGTCTTCTTTTTTTCAAATTTCAATACCAAGGTCATAACCTTGTCAAAACCCATATCAGAACTATGGTGCCTTAAAAATAATATTTCATAATTTGAGACATATTTCTAAACAAACCTAAATCTAGACTTCAGCAAACCAAATACTTTTTCAACCACAGAACGGCCTGCTATATGTCTGTCATTAAAGACTTGTTCAGCTCTTGATGAAGGACTCAGTACGGGTGTCATCAGATAACTTTTAAGTGCATATCCACTATCTCCAAGAAGATACCCTAGGTCTTCACTCTCTAAAAGATTCCGTTACAAAATTGAAAATTATAAATCTATATCAATGTAATGATTGCAATATCTTCAATATGTTTCATGTATTTAATGTTGCATTTTAAATAAGATGTCAAAAAGTTATGCATGTAAAACAAAACACATTTCTTACATTTATTAGACTATTTTAAATTAACATAATTGGTTAAACTTTTCATCGGAAATTGTAATGTTCACTAAGAATATACCTTCATTCCACAATTATGGAAAATAAAAGAGTCATGTTGTGACCCAGGCCACTTGGCTACAATGTCTATGAATCAGAAAAAAATAATGTTATAAGTTCATGTCATAATGAAAGTAATTCATAATAATTATAACAATGATAATTATATTTTCATGTTTAATTTTAAAATCTTAATGTAATCTTAAAATAAAATAAGATAAACAGTAGAAATGGCATACCGCATGTTGCTGTCTACAAATGCCTGCATATTTATTGCGTGAAATATATAGGCAATTTCATTGTCACTAGGAGCCTTAATTAAGATATCAAAAAATAAAACTATCACTTCCATATCTACGAGGGACGGTAAAAAAATATCCGGACTTTTCATGCTCCTCTCTTTCCACGTGTAGCTATATACACACATTATATATTGGTGAAAACTACATTTATTCGTCAATAACGTGGTCAGTTTACTTTCAATGATAGTTGTGTAAACACAGTTTTTCCCCCTCTGATATATGATAGGTGTTTCGTCTATCATGGACTCTTTGTTAGAGGAAAAACGCTCTGTAATAAAGTTTCTGGTTGCAGAAGGTAAAAAGCCCTGCCACATCTTTCAGAGGCTTAAAAAAGGATTTTCTGATAAATGTGTATCACGTTCAACCTTCTACAACTGGGTTTCTCAGTTTCGTGAAGGCAAAACAAGTGTTTGTGACAGGCCTAGGACTGGGCGGCCAGCTGAAGCGGTGACCCCAACAATGGTAGCAAATGTTAAAGCATTTGTCAACAAAAATCGTCGAGTAACGTTGGAGGAGGTAGCCAACAAGATTAGCATCGGTAAGGCATCGGCACACAAGATTTTACACGAACACCTAGGCATGAGCAAGGTAAGTGCCAGGTGGGTGCCTAAACAGCTGTCCGCAGATCAAAGGACAACCAGAGTAACCAATGCAAAAGAACATTTAAGTCGTTTTAATCGTGAAGGAGATACGTTTTTGAACCGCATTATCACTGGAGAAGAGATGTGGGTTCATTATTCCGAACCTGAGACAAAAGCTCAGTCAAAGCAGTGGAAGCGAGCTGGTTCCCCACCTCCTAAAAAGTTGAAGATGTCTCCTTCGGCTGGCAAATTCATGCTTGTTGCCTTTTGGGATTCACGAGGAATGATACTTATTCATTTCATGCCAAAAGGTCAAACTGTCACCGCCAAGTACTATTCTTCTGAAGTAATTCTGGAAAAATCTCAGAGAAAAGCTGAAGCAAATGCGTCCAAGGTTAGCACAGAAAAATGTCCTCCTTCTTCACGATAACGCCCCCTCCCATACCGCCGCAGCTACAGTGGAGGTTATCAACTCTTACAAATGGTGATTGTTGTCTCACCCTCCTTATAGCCCAGACCTCGCCCCCTGTGACTTTTATTTGTTTCCAGAACTGAAAAAATTGCTTGCTGGAAAGAAATATAAGACCAGGGCGGCTTTGATATTTGCTGTTACACAGTACCTAAAACACAGATCTACGTCATGGTTCACAGCGGGAATACAAAAGCTCCCACGAAGATGGCAAAAGTGCGTAGACGTAGGTGGAGAATATTTTGAAAAAGAGTAGAAATATTTTTTTTAAACTGTTGAATGGTTTTCGAGAACGTGTCAAAAGTCCGGATATTTTCTGGCCGTCCCTCATATAATGAGTGTGATTTGACAAACAGGATTTATGTTATGTTACAGCTTTTTCAGTAATACATATAAATGCTGCATAACTAAATTAAAGTGCTCCATGTATTTCAATTAGAACTCCGCGAGTCGAATGTGTCGCCTTGTGAACAATGTAGTTTAGGAGAAATGGTCAGGACAAAAATGATATGAAAATAAACAAAGGGCAATAACTCAAAAAATAAGAAGTGCAGAGCAGCAGTTTCTGTGCACTGCACTTCGTATTAAAAAATATATCATCCTATGAGGTTTCAAGTCTAAAGCTTTTATAATTTATGAGAAATGGCCTGGACAAAAATAAAATATGACAATTAACAAAGGGCAATAACTCAAAAAATAAGAAATGCAGAGTACTGGTTCTTGTGTACTGAACTTTTTCTCATTGAGATCTATCATCCTATGAAGTTTCAAGACCATAGCTTATAAACTTTAGTTGAAATGGCCCGGACAAAAATAAAGTATAAAAATTAACAAAGGCCCATAACTCAAAAATATGAAATGCAGAGTACCGGTTCTTGTGCACTGATTTTTTCTTAATGAGATCAATCATCCTATGAAGTTTCAAGTCCATAGCTTTTATACATTAGGAGAAATGGCCCGACAAAAATAAAGTATGAAAGTTAACAAAGAGCAATAAGTCAAACATTAAGAAGTGCAGAGAACCGGTTCTTGTGCACTGCACTTTGGGTCATTTTAAGAAGAATGCATACCAAGTTTGAAGTCAATCCGACTTATACGAGTAATGACTGAATTATGCTCCGGAAAAGCTTAAGCGGACGCTGATGTCGACGCCGCCGACAAAAGTAACCCCTATATGTGGCCTTTTCAAGGCAAGAAAAAATTGCAGAAAGCCCTTTTGTAGGGCAGTATTTAACAAAACTTGTAATAAAAGTATCTATAAATTTTGATAATGACAAGACTGAAACTTGTCTGTTTTTTAAACACTTTTGACAAAATTGGAAATATTATAAATTTCAATTTAAGGAACAAACTATACCTGAATAGTTTAATACCTGAATAATTGTGCCATCTATTGCTCCAATAACATTTGGTAGTTCACTTCTATGATAAAATTCATACTTGACATTATATAAATTATCTACAGGGAATCTGAAGACAATAATCCAATCATTAAAGCACAATGTCTCCAGATTCATGCTTAATCACATGAAAATGTTTTTAAAAGTAAAATAGCAAAAAGATTACAAGAAACAAAAAGGATTCACAATATAACTCTGTGTTATTAGAGTAAAAGATAATGTAACGTGAATGAGTTTACCAGAGTTTCCGAACTGATCGAAAACGATAATTTTGTAGATTTAATCAATGAATTATCAAGTATGCTGACCAGTTCAGCAATTGACGATCTGTCCAGACGATAGCGTGACACACTTTCAGAATCTCTAAAATCATCCAACCCTATCCTCTCTTTAAATAGGCGATTTCTCTTTTTCAAGGATCCCTCGGAAACGTAGATTAACGCCATTTTGGAGTATACATGTGACGTCACGCGAACGTCGTATCCCTGTCGTGGAGCTTCGACATTTCCTAGCCTATGATCGTATAGCGTTGATAAAACGTCCCCTGGACCATATTTTGCTTCTGTTACCAGGGGAGAAACTATAATACGACCAGTTTTTCAAACGAGGGTATTTGCTAAGGATCATCTTTTCTACAGTGCGTTACTTTTGTGTATTTGTAATAAATTTGAAAATTTATAAAAAGGAATAAATAATAATTAGCTAGGAATTGATTTTTATGAAAAACATGACAATGGAAACGTTGCTTGGCGTGTGTCTGTTGCGGAAACAATGTGCTGAACAAAAATCCACTTTTTGGAGATCACATAGTCGAATAAAAAAAATCTTGCAAATCAGGAAGTAGTTGACGTAGGGTGTTAAATACAGAGTATGGTGTCCGTTGGCATTAATTACATATTTATACGGACGGTTCAAAAGAAGGTTGCAAAGTAGGTGCGGCTGTGTTACATCTAGTATAAGGTTACCAGATAATGCATCAATTTTTACTGCTGAAGCAAAAGCTATAGATTTAGCATTGTCATCATAGTTCAGCATACCAATGATAAATTTGAGATATTTTCTGACTCGCTTTCTGTTTTAATATCCATTAAAAATATAAAAAATCTGACAATATCATGATAAGGAAACTGCTTTTACGATTTCATGATATACTTTAAACAAAATCTGCTAAATTATGTTGGATTCCAAGTCATGTAGGTATACGAGGAAATGAAGATGCGTTAGCTAAGCAATAAATACGGACTTATTGTTACCTGCTTGTGATTTTAGACCGGCTATAAATAAACTCGTATCATCTGAATGGAAAGCCATTTGGGACAATGCCGTTTTTAATAAACTTCACACGATATAAACCCATCTCTTGATGTGTCACCATCTCTATCTCTGTCAAACCGCCATGATCAAACAGTTCTTTTTTGATGCCGAATTGGACACATTAAACATACCCACTCTTATCTCCTCACGAGTGACAATGCCCCTTTCTGTGTAGCTTGTAATAAATATTTCACTGTCAACCATTTTCTTCTTCAATGTCATGATTTTTCAAAGGCCCGAAATAGACTTTATTGTGTTAATTAACTCAACGAACTCTTTAATACAATTCCAAAATCAAAAACATCATTGATTATTTGAAAGAGATAAACCTGCATTTTTATCGACATTAACAAAGTTTTACATAACATTTTAAGCCTATTATAGCATTTGGCACGATATGTCTAGTTATGTGCTGACGTGCCGTTAAAATCAAAGCAAAACAAACAAAAAACGGCCTGACATCGCCGCCGCATGCTGCTGATGAGCCTGCGGACTTTGTGAAGAGGAATCTTGGCCCATTTCTCTATGATTGCATGTCTTAGCTCCTGAACTGTTGTTGACTGGACGTGGCGTGAAGAAATGGCTTTCTGCAGCATATCCCAAGCACGCTCAATTGGATTAAAATCCGGGGACCTCTATAGTTGCCTCATCAATGTATCGGTTTGTGATGTGGACGCTGTCACCCATAAGAATGCAATCACGGCCGACTGCGCCAAGCGTACGTGCGTACATGGACGTC